GGGGGAGGGGGAGCGGCGGTGGGTGACGAATCCGTCAAACGGCAGAAAAATGGACAAGGGGACTCTGTCGTGTGAGAAAGATGGCTTATACGCTAGCAAGATGCACCTCGCCTGAATCTGGAGTCGGTGTGATGTTAGCAGCGGCATAGATATCCATCGCACTGGCGGTGCAGGGTGTAGACGGTGCTGTAGGATCCTCAAAAGGATGCGGGTTTTGGCGGACCGAGGCAGCGGAGGGGGGAAGGGTAGCTTTGATGTGCAGGCTCGGGCTTGAGTGCCATGTTTGTTTTTTTTTTGTTTTTTCGTGCAAGGCAGGGATAGTAGAATGGACGATGAGATGCAGAAAGGACAGAGGCGTGACAATTTAAAAGGGGAGGCGACAAAAAAAAAAGTCAACAAGACGCAGCAGGTCGTTCGCTAAGTGTCAGAATAGAGGTGGATAAAGTTCAGAGGTCCGTGTTGTAATCACGACAGCGTTTGTGCTGGTGATGCTCGTCGTCGTTGGTTTCCGTCGCGGAAATCGTCGTCGTCGCAGATGGATGGCTGATGGGCTCAGCGGGTCGAGCGGGGGTTCGGAGAGGGGACCCAAAGATGGGGGATCCAGTCGTGTTGAGGATGCTGAGGGCCCAGCAGGAAAAGGGCAGTCGTCGTCGCGTCTCGCAAGAGAGGCGTCGAGCGTTTCTTCTTCTCGTCTACCGTCGCCTCTCTCTCTGAGGGCAGGGCAGGAGTACGATGGAATCGCCGTAGGAAAAGCAGAGAGGGGGTGGGGGGGGTTGGGTTTGGAGGAGAGGATAGGCAACTCTGCGCTGTCGCTTCGCCAGAAAGGAGGCGTGTTCAGGTCGTCTTGTTGGGTGGGCTGTGGCGTTGGCCTGGCCGGATCGTCTTGGCAGGAGGGAAGTCTTTCTGTGGTGAGAGAGAGAGTAAGAACGTCGGATGCAGAGCAGCAAGAATCCCGCAGCGTTCGCTTGATGCTGTAACGGTCTCGTGAAAGGATGGGGGGGGGTCGAAGACTTCTCTCGCGGGTTGCAGGACGAGGGAGAGGAGGGAAGAGAGAGGGAGGGATGCTCGTAGAGTGAGTGTGTGGCAGAGTTTTTTTTTTTTTTTTTTTTTTTTCTTCCTTGTCTTTTCGCCCTTCGGCCTCTCTCTGGCGTGGGGAGGGAGAGGAGGCAAGAACGGAGGGCCAAGGGGCGAGCACGGTGCTGTGAGTGGCTGAAGAAGAGGTATTCCTGGCTCTGGCTCCCTGCGGGCTGTATATATATGTAGGCTGTGCTGTGCTGTATCGTCAGGTAGCGGTACAGTATCAGCACTGCTACTCGCAGGCTCTACTGCTAGCGACAGCTGAGGACCCCGATACGTGCACTGCGTCCGCCGTAGCCTGTCTATGACCTGTACTCGTATGGGCGATTGCTGTGCGATGAGGGGGAGCGGCTGCCGATGGTCACTATTGGAAGGCTGCGTCGTACCGCCACTACTTCCCCATCATCATTCTTACTACGGAGCTCCGCACGGGTGGCAGAGTACGAGCAGGTGGCACCGTCCACACTCATAGCAGATTGGATCCGTACAAGAGTATACGAGCATCACTGCCAGAAGGATATCATGGCTAGCATCACCACTTGCACAGTACGGAGTACTCCGTAGTAAGGTTTGAGCACATATAAACGGTTCAAAACCCTGAAGCACACCGGGCTCGTCCCCAACTGGCAGCAACAACCAGAGTCTCTCTCCCAGACACCGGTCGACAGCAATGCACCGGCCACATGGAGGCATCAGAGCATTGACGAATAGCCACAGCACCATCCCCCTCTCCGTCTCCGCCGGGCTATGATCGGGTGAGTATCCGGTGATGCTATACACTCTACACCACTCTACGCGTGCGTAGGAGTGTTACCACCATGACCGCCATAGTTCGGGTACGGGGGTACTCCGTATTGAGAGGGCATCGCCACTGCTACCACGGCGGTACTGCTATCCGTTCATCTTTCAGCGTATATTGCCAGGCTTTTTGCTAGTGCTGCTACCGTATGCGGTACTCTGTACGGATACCACTAACTAATAGCTACTGCTACTGCTAAGCCTCCGAGGTCTGCTGGGTACTCCAGGAGCAGCCTCCGTCCTCGGGTCCTCTAGGGCCCCTAGTAGTGTGGTAGTAGCAGTAATGGTAGTAGGGGGGACCTGATTCCCCTCTAGGCTCTCTCTTTTTTTCCTCCTCTCCGTCTCTTGTCCCATCTCGGTCACTCCCTCTCCATCTCCGCTCTCGATCCCAAGCACGCTCTTCTCTCTCTCTCTCTCTCTCTCTCTCTCTCTCGCCCTCTCGTTCTACCTTTACCTGTAAGGAGTACGAGCATCGAGCATTACTCTCCACGTCTTCCGAGAATCTCTTGTTTTGGACCCCTGCTACCGGTGCACATTGGTCTCGCCGCTCCGACCGTCAGCCACTCGGCTCAGACGCTAGGACCAGACAGAGAGGAAAGGACTGATGCTGGTAATCGTACTACGAGTACATACCGACACGGGTATATGTAATACGGGATACCCGTACAGTGGTGCGTTACAGGTGCACGAGTATAATACCAATTGATACTGCTACCATCATCCTTTGGCCTCGTCCATACCCGTACGCATCTGCATACATAAAACCCTGTCGATACAAGTCTACCGAGCACAAACGTAACCGAGAAGAAGGGCAATCCCCACCTCCCCTTTTCGTCCTTCCTCCTCCTCCCCCTCCTCCCCCAAAAAGAAAAAAAGAAGTAAGACCAAGCTCCACGCCAAGTCTCAACTAAAAACTACATCTATTATTATTAGACAGCGGCTGTTGCGGTCCATGAGCACCAGTAGATCGGTCAGCCTCTTTCTTTTCCAGGCACCGAGTTTAAACCCGAAATTATCATGATAGTTCTAATACATACGTACACACTCATAATATATATAGCATCATCCATGTACGGATTATATGGACCATGTACAGATTACTCCGTACTATCTTATTACAACGTAATAACACCTACTCCTCCATCCCGTATCCGTAAAGAGAGGCAGACTGGATCCGGACAGCACGGAGCACCATGTCGGCATACGGAGACAAAGACAGTGAGGATACGCCGATAAGAAAAAGAAAGAAGAGAAGAAGAAGAGACTTCATCCAGTTCATTGGCATGGAGACCTCCAAGACCAACCTGACCAGGGGAG